TTCGGCCATACATGGAGCCCTCGGCTACACAAGGAGCCCTCGGCTGCACAAGGAGCTCTCGGCTACACAAGTAGCCTTCAGCTGAACTAGCTCAATCATCGAAGATTCCTTTTAGAGACAGCCAACCACCGCATTTAATGCCACGTCACATCCGCCAACCGCAATCAATGCGGTGGACGTACCACGGCCGGTGCCAACCGGCTGATGTGACCCTTCGGCCGTTGGATTGCTGACACGTGTACTCTCATCGCATTTATTGCTGCTATAAATAGCAGCCCATTTCTCCTTGTAATGGACATCATCTACATCCCAACTCCACATCTCGAGTTCATTTAATAAAATCGACTCTCTCTCCTCCTATTTACTCTGACTTCTCTCTAGTTATTCCCGCAATAACCCCTCGGATAAGATACCCCCGGGTAGATTGTCCATCATAGGCTATGATCTCTAATTTACTAACAAATAATGTATTATTTAGCACATTTATTTAACTAATATTATTATATGTCAAAAAAACTAATATTATCACATATGGATAGTATATGATTTCGATAAATTATATTTTTATTTACCTGTAGATGTACGTGAGAAGGAATTTCAATATAGATTAAATGGATTAACCATGTTATAAATTGAGAAGGAATTTATTAAACAACACGATTATGCCGACTTAATTAACTAATACATTTGCGGCTAATATTGTCCCATAGGTCATAGGTTGTACTTATTTAATTTTTTTAATACTTTTGGTATTTTTATATTATGTAATGTATGAATTTTATTAACATAGTTATTTTGTGATATTTGATCTTTAACTTCAAAACAAATTATACTACATAATATTGCAATTTATAGGGGCCTTTTTATGAAGTTTCGACTCAGGCTCGAGTTTAGGTAGGATCGGCACTGGGGGAATGTTACACCCATCCATGCCTTAGGTTATCTCACATTCCCGGGGTGATCTAATTTTCTTCCGAAAATACCCTTAATTAATTATCTGTTTTCATTTAATTTCTTTATATATTCAACTGTTATCAAATTTGATTTTTGTGACTTTATAAAACTTTTAATGTAGTCTCTAAATATGTAATTTTTATTTACTAAAAATAATCTTATTATTAACAGGGATCGGTTAGTTTCATGGTCTGTCGAACATGGTAAATTATGTAACAACCTTTTAGGTGGGACGTACAGAGTGATAATTACGGAGTATATTTGAATGTCTATTCTTGTTATATGCATAATTTTGTACCTAACATTTAAATTTTTTAAGGTATTTATGTTATAAGAGATAGATTATTTAAGTTTTGATGAGTGGATTTCAAAATTTAATAGCGAAATTGGCCATTTTTTCTTATTTTGAAAACAAGTTTTACGAATAACTTGATCATTTTTTAATATTTTTTAGAAGATAATAAATATATTTATATTACTATTTGAACAATTTTTTTCATTTTTGTATTGGATCTACAACTTTTTACAATTAAACATATTTTACTTAAAAATAATTCAATTAGGTTTGATTTTATTTATTATTAAGATATTTCATTTTTTCTTTAATTTTAATCACTTAGATGTATGTTGTAATAAATTTATTGCATTAAGAGAAAATATTTAAATGGTATAAAAGTAATTCATCATATCTGCAACATAAGATATCTTTCGACCAAATAAATTATGACACATTCCCTTGATGTTAATCAAACACAAATGAGAATACATTGAATACATTCCCATCAATCTAACATGTCCAACAATCTGACATTCTCATGATAATGTGACATTCCTTGAATCAAACATACCTTAACTCTGAAAGCATGTAATTGGTCATTTGGCCTTAGCTCACATCATGTGTACCCTCCTACCCCATGTAATGTAATGATAGTCAATGATATAAATAACGAATTGCAGCTATAGCTACGGAAATTGTTGTTCTGTTGCTCCATATATCTTAAAGACACACCACTCTTTCTTGCCTGTTAATAGTGAGGGTAAGGAAGTGTTTGAATCTGATTTTTAAAACTGTTTCTGCTCATTCAGAGAGTAGAAGTAGAAGTTGCAGTGTTTGGGTAAAAGTGCAGAAGCGATTCTGGTGCTCTAATTTACTTTTAAAAACAATTCTTTTTACAAGCTAAAAGAGATCATCTTCTAAAAACTCATTCTAATTCTGATTTAAAAAGGAAGCAGAATCAGTTCCAAACACCCCTAAATCCCACGTTATGTATCTTATATACTTCGTAAATGTAATGGGATATACTTGGTTCATTTCATGTTAACAACTTAGCTCAAAACTCTAATTTATTTACGGACTTCTCAGCTATGACCTAATAGGACCAAACCAATACATTTTTCCTAAAGTGGGACCAAGTAGTTTAAAATGTCATAAATAATCTCACCTTTCACTGGTCTTCTCATAGTAATCTCACCTTTAAATAATCCCAAAATAATCCCACATTTGCACTTCCTCTTCTTTCATTGGACCCTGACCAAGTTTTTTACCTTTTTTAAAAATCTTATATAAATAATCTCACATTTATAAGGATATAATTAAAAAGTGAAAGGTGAGATTATTTGTATAATTTTCAAAGAAAGAGTAAAAAAACATGGTTAGGGTCCAATGAAAGAAGATGAGGTGCAAAAGTGAGATTATTTTGGGATTATTTAAAGGTGAGATTATTATGAGAATACCAGTGAAAGGTGAGATTATTCTTGTCAATTTTTCCTTTTGTTTATGATTGCACCAAAATAGTCTCCTAAGGTTGGAGCACCACTGCCCCTAGGTCGCCGAAGTGTGTGCTGCCCGCCGCCAGAATTTGTTTCCCAAATCGCTTCCGCCGATTTGCCATATTTCCGCCGCTATCTGTTGCCTCCTAAAATCATTGTCGCCACTACCGAGCTGACCCAACACCAACAAATTGGTCTTGGTTATGCAACAAAACTAGGGAGCAATTAATTAGATTAATTAATTAAATTAGGAGTAGAAATAGAATGATTAATGCTTTTTGTACACGACAGTTTGTACATGTCATTGTACACGCTGGTCAAATTGTGTGTACACAGACAATTCAATCGGCGTTTTATGAAGAAAACCAATATTCACACATACAAATTATCTTTACACGCCGATCAAATCATCTGTGTCATATGTGATACAAGCAATTTTTTGTGTATGTGAAAATCATTTTTTCATAAAACGCCGATCAAATTGTTTATGCACCCACAATTGGATAGACTTGTACAATGTCGTGTACAAGACGGATATTTTATTGGTCCAAGCAAAAATAAGTGTTCTCTTTGTCTAATACGGAGTATTTTATTGTACAATATTTTATTGTCTAATACTCCGTATTCTCTTTAACCTTCCGATCAGCCTCTTTGCCACTCTGCGTAACAAAATTGCACCTAGAGAACAATTGTTTCTCCAACTCCAAAGGACAAAATGCACTAATAACTGTTCCAAACTAAAAAATCAATGTTGTCGACATAAAAAACGTGTCAACTTTTGCAAAAAAGAACATACTTATACATGGAGATGTGACATACAATTTCATACGTAGTACACACTTATTTTATGTAAGTTTGTTATTGCTTATTCAAATTTCACGTGTCAACTTTTGCAAAAAAGAACATACTTATACATGGAGATGTGACATACAATTTCATACGTAGTACACACTTATTTTATGTAAGTTTGTTATTGCTTATTCAAATTTCACTTTTCTTTTTACAAATTATAAATATATTCAGATAACATTTCTTAGACTTTCATCCTACTTATTTAATCTCCACTTTTAAGTACTCCGTATCTTTAAAGATAATTTATATCTCTCATTTAGATACATTTGAGCTGCACACAGAAAATGGATATCTTTGATTTAGATACATTTAAACTGTAATGGAAGTGTGAACTTAAATTAGGGATATCCCAAAAGGAAAGTGAAAACATTGATAAGCTCACAAAGTCAACAATGAGCAAACTAGCATCTTCATCACTGCTCCCCATCACCGACTGAACCATTATATGGGTCTCTTGAGAGGATGTAAATAAGATTTTAAACACAAGGTCTCAGATAACAAGTGAGGTTCTGGCGCAGATACTTGCAAATACTCTATCATTTGTACATAATACAGAGTACTCCCTCCGTTGGATGGTTTCATTTCTTATGACACAAATTTTAATAAAGTGGTTGAAAAGATAAAAGTTGTGGTTGAGATTTGAGTAGAAAAATGTGAAATGATGTTGAACACATCTTTCTTTCCAAAAAGGAAAACAGGACCATCATTTTGGGACGGAGGGAGTAACATTTTATCTTATGGGGATTCGAACTCGAAAGTCGTCCTTTTATGTCACTCCTATGGGCTATGTACCAACAAATAAAAATAAGGCTAAAGGGTCAAATAGACACTTGAACTGACCTAAAGTGTTCAATTAGTCTCTTATATAGGAGATTCTGCCCCGGCCGTCACTAATTGGGGCGGTTCACAGTGGAATTTTTCGATAAAATTTTTTGAGCATCTTCTTCATTAAGTCTAGTTTACCCATACCAAATTTCAGCTAAAAATTCAACCGGGAAGGTAGTCAAATGATTTTCCGAAATACTGCGCTGTTTAATTTCGCAGTTATCTTCAAAAAATCATTTGAATGTCTTCCCGGTTGAATTTTTAGCTGAAATTTGGTATGAGTAAACTAGACTTAATGAAGAAGATGCTTAAAAAATTTCATCAAAAAATTCCACCGATAACTGCCCCAATTAGCGACGGTCAGGCAAAACCTCCTATATAAGGAACTAATTGTAAGACTTAGCTTATTTGACCAGCCTCAAATAATGGATCATACCAAACCATTACGTACTGATGGAGGATTTCAACGTTTATTTAAATAAAATTTGAAACATATACCTGTATATTTTTATACCACTATACTAGAACTCTAGGAGTAGGAGGTCCACCCTAGCCGTGTACTAGTAAATGATGAGAGGAGTAATGAGGGACACCCACAACTTCAACTTTTTAGAACATCCATTACACAATTTACAAAGCTGAATTTACTCGCTTAGGCAACTACCCACACGTCACGGCTCTCCTATTACCCACCATCCCTTCCCTTTCTCTGTAGAGAGGCAAATCTGCGAAGGCAAATCGGCGACCATTTTCAGTGCTGTGACTCGGTCTAGCCTCGCCCTCACATGGATTCCACTCCGTCCTTTGATTGACTCAGCCGCCGACCTAATTTTCCACCCTTTTTTCCAAGAAAACCACCTTCTGCCCCACCCCCACCACTTTATTGAACCCAAACTGTATTAAGAGCCCCCACTAATCCTAACCAACTACCGCCCTTCTATTTCCCCTCAAAGATTCACTGTTTATCTACAAAATCAATATTCTTTTCCCCTTATAAGACTTCTACGCCATTAAAGTTGGCACCTTTATCTGTTCATTTCAGTGGGTAAGGCCGCCCTATCCTAATCACGATCGAGACTCTGGGTCTCAAGAGGAAGATATATGGGTGGGTTGTTGTTTGTAGAGATCCCGGATGATGGTGGTATGGCTAAGAAACTGTGGATGAAGTTCCAGGATGAAACAGTATTTGCTATGTATACTCCATTTGTGGTGGGTTTGGCTTCTGCCAGTTTGGACTCTTCCACCTTTCTTCACTGCATCTCTCAAGATGTCTACTTTCTTCAGGCTTTCTCCAAGGCGTAAGAATCTCTGTATTCATTTCTCTGGTTGACTGGTTTATTCTTCTATTCAGTTATGGGGTTGACGTGTACAGTGTTTGATTGGCTTTGCATGTAAATGAAGGTATGAACTTGCAGAGGCATATGCTGATGACGATGAAGACAAGGAAGCTATCAGCATGTTGAGAAAGCGCGTCCTGAAGAGGCTCAGCGATCAGCGTAATCTTGTTCGTGTAAGTTCTCCATCTTTGCCACTTTTTACAAATTTTTGCAATTGATTCCATGATATTGTAATTTAATAGTACTCTCAGTACTTATTTTGGAGTCCGGAGGGGTGTATTTGGCTGGAGACAGTTGTTGAAATTTCTGAGTTCATATAGATGAGGTATCTGAAATTGTAAAATCATTTCGAAAAAAAGTTAATGAAAATGTATAAATTGCTGTAAATATGAGCAAAACATCTGTGCATGAAAATGAGTATGAATATCATTGTTTTGTCATAAAAATATGACCGGTTAATTCCAAAAAAAGAAAAGAATAAAAGTAGTTATAAAGTAGTTTATTTTCGGAAAAATGCAACAATAGTCCTATTTGGGAAAATGTTTTTGTTGTTATATATGGAACTTTCTATTCAAAATATAAATTTATACGTAGTACGGAGTATTAAATAAAGGAAATATGTCATGAAAGTTAAAACGATCCTCTGCTCTTTACCAAAGTCAGATAAACAATTAGTCAATTACCTATGTCCCTACTCTTTTTCATTATTAACGAATTTATCACCCGGGGTAAAAAAGTTAGTAATAAGGGCTGCTTGGTAAATGGTACTCCGTACTACGTAATATTTACTCCGTATTAATTAAGGCTGATGATCTGAAAAGTGTTTACCCAACAACCAGTAGTAATAAAGTTGAAACTAATGAATACAAAAATTCAGACATACACTTTCTTTTGTGTTAGCACGACAGGATTCCCGTCATGCCGTTCTGATATGAACACTAGTCTATATCTCGCTATCACTTGAATATTAGATAGTCATCTTGATGAAATAGTGGATTTGATTAATCTGGAAAAACAAGAATTATTTCATTACTTGAATGGTACATTATCATGGATAAATAATACCTATATATATAGGTAGATTACAAACCTTTTACTTACTCCATAGACTCTTTGACAACTACAGACCTTCCACATACCCATGACCTCACCTTGATGAGGACTCTTAGCCTTCACAATCTCTTCACAAACACAAGGAACGTGATATAACACAAAAAGGAAACAATATCTACATATATTTTCCTATATTACCTCCTTTCACTTTTTTATGCTTCAATTTCCTTTCATGAAAGTTTATTACTCCATATTACGGAGTACTTGATTTCAATTCCATTTTTGGAAACTACTGTAATATTAAAACCCAAAAATATACGTACTTCTGTATCTCATCTTCCATACATTTTCTACTCTTTGTTCTATTCTCTCCCACTTTTTCACTTTTTTACATTCTTTACTACCCCTGCAATTATACTCTTAGATTAATGTCAAACTCACTAGGGGTGCAACTAAATGTAAACTGATGTACAAATTATTGTTTGAAATGAAATGTAAATTGTAAAGCGAATAAAATAAAATGGAGTTTGGGGATAGTGATTTGTATATTGATGTGCAGGACTGGGGCTTTGAGCTTCCAAAAGACAGCACTTGTGACAGTGCAACAGTAAAATACACAGACTTTTTAATGGCAACAGCCTTGGGAAAAGTTGAAGGAGAAAAGTTTCCTGGCAAAATTGTGACTCCTTTTGAGAAGACAAAACTTGCTGCCTATACTTTAAGTGCCATTGCTCCTTGTATGAGGCTATACAGCTATGTTAGTAAGGGGATTAAGGCCATTCTTGAACCTCAAGAGAAAACTAACCCATACGAGAAGTGGATTGACAGTCTATCCTCTGATATATTTGAGGTGTGTGATTATTTTGATGGTCCAGGTTATATATATAATTATATACATACAATTATTAATTATAATATGCGTATAAACTTCTGTTCTTTTGTGACTAAAACATTCATATATTCCTAATATATGACTAATAAATTAAAATATGCATTTATATGAGTAATAAATTGATGGGAGGAAAAGTAACATCAAAACACGTGTCATACTTGCAAAACACCATTAGTTTAAAGAATACAAATTATTTAGTCATATTTTAGAAATCACCACCTCATTAAGTCATTGTTTTAATAATTTTCTCATATATTTAATGTACATTAGTAGATATTATTAAAAGATGATATTTGAAAATTGACATTAAAATAAGTCTAATAACAGTTTACATAATATGATCTGTTTTTATACATTACTCAAAAACATCAAAGTATGATATTTAAATAGTGAAAACGTCAAAATATTGCGATTAATAAAAACAGAGGAAGTATATTTTTTAATAATCTTTTTAACTTTTATTTTATTTTATTGACAGGTTTTACTTTTTATATGTGTATCCAGGAAACAGCTTCAACAATTGAAGACTTGCTAGATAAACTAAGCATATCTTTGACTGGTGGGGAGCTTGAAATTGTGGAAAAGCTATACCATCAATCTTTGAAACTTGAATTAGAATTCATATCAGTTCAACCAATTATTCAGTCATCATCAATTGTCCCGGTTGTTTCTCAAGTGCCTGTCGAATCACATCTTAAAGTGTTCTGTGATTTTGACATGACATGTTCTGCTATTGATTCATCTCCCCTTTTAGCCGAGATGGCAATCTTGGCTTCAAGAAAAGCGTATCTGAATGAATCTGAAACTCAACCTTCTCAAGCTACAGCATCTGATCTTTCTGCCACTTGGGGCAGTCTGTCCTGCAAGTACATTGAGGAGTTTGAGCAATGCATTAAAAGAATTATACCCACTGAATCAGGTAATTTGATGTGTTATGAGCTATATGTAATTGTGGCCTAATATAAACATAAGTTCACTGTTCTTCATAAAATATAAGAACTGATTAAGTTCAAATGAGAAATCGATCTGACTTAGACTCAAAAGAGTACATGGGATGTAAAATTGGTCCTCTCTATTGAACTACCATCTTGGGAGACATCATCATCATCACCCCAGTGCCGCAAAGGCCCCCCCACCTACGGTGGGGTAAGGGGAGGCCAGATGTAAGCAGTCTTAACCCTGCACTAAAGCACAGAGAGACTGTTTCCGGATGACCCATAGTGAAAATCGCGTCAAAAATTGCATAGGCTGACTGCTGCTTCATAACAAAGAAGCGCAGAGAGTTTAGTGAGTCATTTTGCTTTATTCCATCATATTCCCAAGCCAAAAATTAGTGAGTCTTTCGCTCAATTGCAAATGATGGAAATTTGAGAGACATGTGACATAAAAAACTTTTTGAATGGAACCACAAGGCCATCTAGCGATATATGCTTTAATAACAATTTTAAGTGTGAAATTGTTTCCAATTCGATGGCAGTGGAGAATTTTGATTACAATGGCCTTTGTAAAGCACTTAAAAACCTAGATGATTTTGAGAAAAGTGCGAACCAGTTGGTGGTTGATTCTGGTGTATTGAAAGGGCTGTGTGAAAATGATATAAGACGGGCTGGAGAGCACTTGATATTTCAAAGAGGTTGCAAATTCTTCTTCCAGGAAATCATGAGAAGTGAGAACCTTGCTGTGGATGTTCATGTTATATCCTACTGCTGGTCCGAGGATCTCATCAGGTCTGCCTTCTTTTCAGGTATATGAATTTGTCATTCTGAATTTTTCTGATAACAAGGCTTTGTCTTGTTTATTACAAAGTATTTTACTTATTGTTGAGTACTTGTATTAAATTTGGGTTTAACTCGTGACGGGTAGATATACGGGTTTACCTTATACTTATATTTGGCACAAGACCACAAGTTGGTGAATTTTATGTGGGACACTTAACACGTCCTCCACTTAAACTGGTTTGGTATAGACATTTGAGATAAATTATACCGTACAACCGGCTGTACGGTGAGCACCGTACAGCCGGGTATTTTTGAAATTAAATACAACTTCGGGCTTGAATCTTACCAGTTGCTCCCTGCTTTCCTTTTGTTTCCCGTCGTTTCCGTCCGTCTCTTTCTTTTTTTTTTCCTCTGTTCCAAACTTGAGTTCGTCTCGTTGTTTGGCCGTTCCTGATTTTGTTTTGTTTCTCCGTACGTTGCTCTGACTTGTTAATTCCTCTCGTTTCTTTTTTCTTTTTAGTTTAACAATCTTTGATTGCTTTTATTTTTTATTCAATTAAAATGAAAATGCAAAATATAAAATATTATTTAATGTTGGATTTTTATTTCAATTAACCTTCTGACTTATTTTTTAATTTATGTATTATAAAATATTTTAGATATTAATACATTTATGTGTCTGCAGAGTAAGTGTGATCACGTCGTCTTCCGTGGCTCTCGCAGCCACTTCATCACAATGAGTTTTATGTTAAATTCAAATGTGTATAACTCTTAAAATGAATGTGCAGACACAAATGAGCTTTTGATTTTTCGATACTCATTTTGTAAGTTGTGTATGCTCATTTGGTACCAGTCTTCTGCTCATTATATTTTTACATAATATTTTATTATAGACATGAGAGCACAGATCATGAGGCTCAACCGCATAATTCTAATACTCAATAGAGGATGTTTGATGCTCAATAAAATATCTTAATGCTCAACTTAAAAACTTATGACTTTCATATTAATGCTCATTTTGTAAGTTACGTGTGCTCAACTGGTACTTCTATTATGCCCATTTTTAAAATGTCATAACAATGCATATTCCAAAAATACCATATTACATTAGATTCACATATTGAAATTCATAGACTTGGTTATAGATATAATTTAATGAGTTTTTATAATTTAATGAGTTTTTATCACAATACTCATTATTCGACTTTTAATGTTCAGTAGAATACGTCTGATGCTCAGTAAAAGTGTGTTAATGCTCATATAACGAAAACCAAGATTTTTTCTGAAATTACGAAAAATGCCACCGTTTTTTAGTTGTGATATCAGCTTTCTTGTAATAACGCGGTGCTCATTATTAGACGCTTAATTACTCATTAAAGTGGAACTATTGCTCATTAAGAGTACACTAATGCTCATTTAGCAGAAACTACGATTTTCACATTAATTACAAAATTGCCACCGAATTATTTTGTTATTTTTCCCTTGGGTCTGTTACTGGGCCGGTTGTACGGTGCTCACCGTACAGCCGGCTGTACCATATACATACTCGACATTTGAGGGGTCGATAAATGGGCCAAGTTGACTGTGGACGTAAACACAGTTATAGTGCTATATAAACAACTAAATCATAACAGGACCTAAAACTTGTAAGACCGTTTTAAAGATGGGTGTAATTCATCCTAAAAAGATTTTGAAGAGGTATACATCATAGTTATATACTTCCTCCGTTCTTTTGTAGTTGCAACCTCTCTATTTTCACGTTTTCCAATGCACAACTTTGACCATCAATATTGGTGGATAGTCTACCCGGGGGGTATCTTATCCGAGGGGTTATTGCGGAAATAACTAGAGAGAAGTCAGAGCAAATAGGAGGAGAGAGAGTCGATTTTATTAAATGAACTCAGCGTGGAGTTGAGATGTAGATCGTCGATTACAAGGAGAAATGGGCTGCTATTTATAGCAGCAATAAATGCGATGAGAGGACACGTGTCAGTAATCCAACGGCCGAAGGGTCACATCAGCCTAGTGGCACCGGCAGTGGTACGTCAACCGCATTGAATGCGGTTGGCGGATGCGACGTGGCATTAAATGCGGTGGTTGGCTGTCTCTAAAAGGAATCTTCGATGATTGAGCTAGTTCAGCCGTAGGCTTCTTGCGTAGCCGAGGGCTCCTTGTGTAGCCGAAGGCTTGGTTGAGCCGAGGGATTCCCCTGGTGCCGAGGGCTCCATAGTGCCGAGGGCTCCATAGTGCCGAGGGCTCCATAGTACCGAGGGCTCCCGTTTTCTGTCAATTTCTCCCAGTAGCTTCGCATGGTCGAATATGGCGGTTCTGTGAGTTCTGGAGCCTTCGGCCAAGGTGGCCGAAGGCATTCCTGTGTGTACCGTGGCCTTCTTGACGCTTGGGCCGCCAAATCTTGGGCCTCCTGAGCTCCTTGAGCTTGTTGGGCTTGTGATAGATTAGTGGGAGTCTTTGGGCCGGGGGTTCCTGGGCCATATACTCCATCAAATATATTTAATTCCTTAATTGTAATATTTTCAAAAAATTCACATTCTGAAAATTTAAAGTGAGAAGAATTTAATTATATTTCTCCAAAAATAAAATTTTAATGTGTTCGTATATTAAAAATAGTCAAAGAAGAGTATGTGATAGTGTCAAATCTAATGTTGCTACTATTTAAGACGGAAGTAGTATTAAATACATACATGGTAAATATTCTATGCGAGACACATAACAACCTAGAACATGAGACTCTGTTTGGTAGACAGCTTTGTCTAATGCGTAGCAGCAAAATAGACATGTAGTCTGAATAAGTTGTTTTTGCCTAATTGACTTATCTATTTGGGCTAAATGGTTGTTACCAAATTGTTTTTACTTCCGTCTGTTCAGGCATTTCAGCCAAATACCCCCTTACCAAACAGGCCCTTGTGTTTTCTTCGTATTCAGCAGGGAAACCAGGTTCTCTGAGTGTGCATTCAAACGAGTTGGTTTATGAAGGATCTATTACCACCGGCGAAATAATTCAGAAGGTAGAATCCCCCACGGACAAGCTTAGCGCCTTCAATGGCATCTTGAACAGCCACGAGAGCAAGAGCAAACCACTAACAGTATACATAGGAGGTTCTGTAGGTGACTTGCTATGCCTTCTGAATGCAGATATTGGGATTGTGATAGGTATGACTGACAGATTAAGGACGTTAGGTGAGCGGTTTGGGGTTACTTTTATCCCTTTCTTCTCTGGATTGGTCAAGAAACATAGAGAAGTGCCGGGAAGTAGCTCCTTTAACTGGAATTCGATGTCGGGGATTCTCTATACAGTCTCCAGTTGGGCTGAGGTACATGCCGCCATTTTGGGGATGGCGATTCTACCCCCGCCCATATGAGGGTGGCATATGTTATACATCACAAAATTAAAAACATTGAAGAATATACACAGTTTATAATGTCTAACACCAGCAGGTGGCTTATATATTTTCACTACACCTGTGTGAGCTCTAGAATCTCCACTTTTATATTGGTCCTGTGTTAATTGATCTCAAGTATAGCCTATATGGCTATATGTATATTCTGTCTGGCTACCGGTCTGTGCCTGTAAAGTTTGATCAGGTATTCCGGAGGCTTTGGAGCGAGGAATAGTTCCAAGGTTATGGGGTTGCTTCTTACAAATATTACTTGAATATGAGGTGGTTTTATTATCTCATTTCATGTTGTAATTACAAAAGCGTGATGTAAATGTGTTTGTTATAAGTTTATTGATAAATGTAGCTTTAAGTGTTCAAAATGGTCCTTGAACATGTGAGATAGTTGTGGACATGTGGTGAAACATGTATTATTAAAGATAATGTATTATTAAAGCTAAGATATAATTATGACTCAAGTCTGTAATATTTCAATTCATCTATGTGAAAATTTAATTGAATCACTCATTTTCTAACTGTTGATGATCAGAAAGATATTACCATCATTACCATAACAACAAATTATAATTATGATTTCATAATTAGCTCCTGGTTTAGAGAAGATTAATGATACTTTCTCATATTTGATTGTAGGGCTAGACATGTTGATTTGGTTCAACCGGATCGAACCATACCAAATCAAACTAACTCGAATTGAAATTGAACCATATGCTATTTGATTTGAGTTTGATAACATCTTTTCTATATATTAAAAAAATTGACAATACTTTCATATATTATTAAAAAATAACAATTATCTAATTGATTCAATCAAATTGAAAGGTATTACGATTTTTGTTTGGTAATCAACTAATCATTCTTTCAATCCATTTCAAATTGAAATCCATTTCAAATTGAATCATGTTCATCTGTATTTGGTTGTGTTGTTTATATACCAACTCCACCTTATATACAAACAAGTTATGTAACGCGTGTTGCACGTTCGTGGTAATGCCCAAAGTCATTGTAGAGATATTAACTCCTCGGTTCATGTTGATAAGGAATACAATATTTCAATACATAGTTGGTTATTTATTGATAAGGAATCAAAATCAATAAAGTATATTTGAGCTACATTTATATGTGGGGACATAAAGCAACCAAGACGATTATAATAATCATAATAATATGAGTAAGGTTCACATCAAACGGTAGCATGCATTTTTGTTCAGGGGCGGATCCATGTGTATGTGAGGGGGGCAGCTGCCCCGAATAATGCCTAGTAGACCATTAGGACAAAACTCAACCATTACACTTGCCCCAACAAAAAAAAAAAAAAGAGATTGCTCCCAATAAAAATGAGATTGCTTCCAATGGATAGATGTAAAGCTTAGTGGGCTAGTGGCTATACACCTATACCTATCTTTAAAAGCAAAGTGTTTAATATTCTAGTACGTTGTAAATTTAGTTAGGGGATAAGGGTCAAATTGGACACTATGGCTATATGCGAAATTCATATTGGACTCTTAAGTTTCAAATGGATCAAATTGGACACTATGGTTACTTGTGTATCTCATACTGGACACTTAAGTTTCAAATGGATCAAATTTTACGTTTTTTCTAGTCATTTGTGGACACCCACCAAAGATTTTCATCTTGAAAGCTACAAGTATTCTTTTTTCTCTTGATTTTATGTACCTAAAAAAACTTAGTTCGTGTATTTAGATTTAGAATATAGAATTAGAAGCTCCAATTAAGAAAATCGATCTATTATAATGTAATTGAATTCTTTAATAATGTTAAATCAATTTAACAAATCGATATTTCTTAAAGTTCCATAAAAATCATATGAATTAAAAGTCTTAAATATATTTTTAAATTGTTAAATATAAGAAGTTATCAATTAAAATCAAAATATATATTCTCAAAACTTCAAATTAAATTAAATATTTCAAAATTATGTAAATAATTAAATTAGTTTATTTTCACCAAAAAGGAAAGAAAATATAAGACTAATGATTTTTATTAAAGGAATAAGGTCGAGAATCATATATAAGTGAGTTTCTAAAAATTATGAATTATAAAACTTTGTCGAATATGAGATACATATGAAACCATAGTGTTCAATTTGGTCCATTTGAAACCTTAGTGTCTAATATGAGATTCTCACAAATTATAGTGTCCAATTTGAGCTTTATCCCATTAGTCAGTTACAATCTGAAATTTATTTAGTAAAATAACTTAACCTAATTTATACTAATTTATAGAAATCTTAGTACGTAGTATAGTAATAGTAGTATTAGCTAAACCAACATTACTTTAATAACACGCAATCTAAAATTTAAATTAACATTATCGTAATGTAAATATATAACAATTTTGTCCTAACATAAAGTTAACTTCATACATACTAGTGTAATTAACACTATTAGATAAATATATTATTAATATATTTGAGTTATATCCCTACGATTTTAATTGTGTGGAACGTAGTGGTTTCGAGTGTGAATTTAGTGTTTACATCAACAATATGCTAGCAGATAAAAACTTGATAACTTGAAAAGCATAGTCATCTTTCTTGAGTGGTGGTGTAAACAAGAATACATTTTTCACATCCATTGGTTTATGGTCTTACATAGCTTTGACCTCACGGCGTGCAATTGTAATTGTTAAAAGATGTTTTTCTGCTTAAAAAATAGTAAAGACTAATTTGTGTAATAGATTCGGTGACCAATTTTTAGTGATTTTTTTTATAGAAAGAGGTTTATTTGAAAGTCATATAAAAATTATAATAGATCGCTTTCAAAAGATGAAAAGTAGACGACATCAGTTGTGATCTACTTTTTTTAGGAACAATTGTGATCTACTTTAGTAAGAGTTTTATATTATAATACACTTAATTAAAAAAATTATCATGTATATTTTTTCCTATTCTCTCTAACATATATTATTAATTCTTTGATCTGGATGTACTTTTTATTATTATTCTGCCCCCAAATCTTTATTTTTCAGGATTCGCCACTGTTTGTGTTGTTATATGAAAATACACATAACAAACACACAAATGTTTTACTTGGAGAAATAGTCAAATACTCTCTCCGTCCCTTAAAATTTTGCCAAGTTTGACCGGCACGAGAATTAATAAAGTAAAAATTTTGTGGTTGAGATTTGTTCAGAGGAGAGAGAATTAACTGAGATCACAAATTCTTTACTTAAAAGGGAAAGTAGCAAAGTTAGTGGGACATCCAAAAAATGAAAGTTGGCAAAATTTTAAGAGATGGAGGGAGTATTTTAAAAGCGTGAGGTATAATGAGGCGTTTTGCGTCAATTTACCCGATGCACGAGGCGAAGGCGCGCGCCTCACGGAGCTTTATCATATAACTTGAATTGGGTAAATTATATTTATACTATTTTCACATGATGCCATCTTCCAAAAAAGGGTATCATAACAAAATACCTAAAGCCATAAAACAAGCTTAATAAACACCAAAAATCAATCACAAAAGAAACAAAATATATATATATATATATATATATATATATATATATATATATATATATATATATATATATATATATATATATATATATATATATATATATATTCAAACAGTAGCAAGAAACATATTAAACACCAATTTATAAGTAATTAAAAAGCAAAGAAGCAAACTTATAAGCAGGGGCGGATCCAGGATTTCATGTAGGGGTGGGCTGAAAAACTTAATTGATAATACATTGAAAATTATCAAAATAAGCAAAACATCAAATATAAGAGTTCTCCGCTAAATTTGTTCTCAACGAGGCTTTGAAACAAAAAACTCGTTAACAATAGAGTCTACATTTATACTGAGAGTAAGGTCTTTTTCAATATAAAATGTCATGCAACAAGCAAGAAAGTATCATCCATTTTGTTGTAGAGTGTTGTCTTTAAAAGTTTCACGGCAAAAAATGATCATTTTACTGTCGCAGTAGAAACAATAAAAGCAATACAAAGCGAATCAATCTGCTCATCATAACATATGAACGAGATCTTTTGCTCTTAGTCAACTCCTCACATAACTCAACAAATGTAAATACTTGAAACTTTGTATCATGAATCACATCATGAACATAGAGTTGCAGTTTGAATTCCAAAGCACAAATGTCCTGACTACAAAAATATTCGGGATAGAACTTCCTTGCAAGACTACAAATAGCATCAGCATTGAACGACTCATATGAATTTTTGGGATCCAACGAAGCACTCAAAGAAAGGAGTTCCACTGATTTATCATTAAATCGGGTGCTTAACTCCTTCAATACAAAGTTTGTTGCCTCATTGAAAACATCAATGTGATAATGACGCTCAACTATAATTTCTTTTCGACAACGACCAACTATATTTAGAATTCAACTTTGGTATATGAGTTTCATTTTTTGAGCAAAACTCCTTTACTTCTTTAAGAAAACTTTTCATCCTTTTTATTTCTTGAGAACGAGTTGTGTAGTAGAAACATGTCTCATGACTACTAAGATATCCAACAATATTTTTTGAAGGCCTTGGCAGGGAATAGTCATTATCCCCAATAACTTTGTGCATCAAAAGTAAATTGAACACCAATTCAAAACATGGGAAAATGTCTACTTACACTACAAACTTCTGCTCGAGAACTCACTTTTGGGCAATGTTTTTGAAGATACTCAAACACTTTACAAGTTAATGTGAACATGCCAATCAAGCTTTTATGCCCTATGGACTTCATGACCCTTATAAAGTGGGAGGTGATGCATATAACATTAAGAAGCTGTTCCGTTCACCTGATCTGAATGTTTCTGATCTGAATTTTTTAAGTTCTGATCTGAATTTTTCTGATCTGATCTGATCTGATCTGAATCTTTCTGATCTGATCTGAATCTTTCTGATCTGATCTAAATGTTCCTGAACTGATCTGAATGTTGCTGATCTGATCTGATCTGATCTGATCTGATCTGATCTGAATGTTTCTGATCTGATTTGAATGTTTCTGATCTGATCTGAATTCTTCTGATCTGAATCTTTCTGATCTGATTTGAATATTTCTATAATTGTAATTGTAATTACAATTATAATTATTAGATTTATAATTGTAATTAAAAATATAACTTAAATAAAATTACAATTATAATCATAATTATAAAAAAATAATAATTAAAATTAAATTTAAAATTATAATAATTATACCAATTACACTAATTATAAATACAGATACAATTATAAATGTAATTATATTTTTAATTATGATTAATTTTATAATTATTATTGTAATTATAATTATAATATTTATTTCTATAGTCATAATTATGTCTATAATTACTAATTTAAATATATAATTACTCCGAAGTAATAATAATTACAACAATAACAACAAGAACAACAATCATATTAATAATAATGAGGATTATAATTATAATTACATTGTAAATCATAATTATAATTATAATCATAAATATATTATATTATATTATATTATATTATATTATATTATATTATATTATATTATATTATATTATATTATAT